TCTGTGAAAGCAGTTCTTACCTACGTTACATGAGGTGACCCCACAACTTAGTGATGAAGGACAGTGAACTCACTGAAAAGATTTGAACGAGTACTTCACAAAAGAGGCTATTCAGATGGCCAATAAGCAGATGAAAAGATGTTCACTGTTACTATCTATTGAGAAAATACAAATTATAAGCTCTTCATCCCCCAGATGTGCTGTCATTGAAAGGACTGACACTACAATGTTTAAGCAAGAATATGAAGTTGCTAGGGTGCTCACACATGCTCTGTGACAGTGTATCTTAGCACGAATACTTGGGAAATCGGTAGGAACTACTATGGCTGAATATAAAGAAAACCCATGACCCTGCAATTTTATTTTTTAGGGACTACCAAATTGAAATGAGCATTTACATCCACCCAAAATCACCAGAATGTCCCTACAAGCTTTATCCATAACAGCCCCGAGGCAGAAACAACCCCAACATCGTGAGAGACAGACAGGACGAGGCGCGATGTGACTGCGGAGTACCACAGAGGAATGAAAGGTACGGAACTACGCCTGCGTGCAACGAAAGGGGCGAATTTCGCAGACATAGCATGGGACGAAGGAAGCGGTCCCAAGAGCATGTCCTTTAGGCTTCCCTTTGAATGATGTTTAACACCAAACAAAAGCCGGGTACAGAAGCACATACCTATGATCCCAGCTACTTGGGAGCCGGATGCAGGAGAGGTGCAAGCTCAAGGCCAGCCTGGGCGACTTACTGAGGCCCTGTCTCAAAGTAAAAAATAAAAAGAACTGAGAATATGGCTCAGCAGCAGAGCGTCTCTAGGTTCAACCCTCAGGGCCAGACATCAACAAAAGTAATTTATGACAGACGTCAGAGCCGTGGTTACCCTGAGAGGTAACCACTGCTTAGGAGTGGACGTGTGTAGCCTGTTGAGATACTGAAAACTCTATCTTCACCCGGGTAGTAGTCTCAGGGGACACATGTATGTAAAGCTGTATCAAGCTATACATGTAAGATTTATAGTATACCTCTTTTGTTATTATTATTCTCATTTTTGGTAGTGGGGACTGACCCCAGGGCCTCATGCATACTAAATATGTACTGTACCTCTGGACTACATCCCTGACCCCTTATGTGCTATCTTTACAAAAGGCAAATAAATATTATTCTTCTTCCTTTGAGATCTTTCTGAAGTGCTAGCTCTTTGTGAATCCTTCCCATAATACTCTTGTTGTGTCGGTCAGCTTCCCATTACTGTGAAAAACACATGAGATGGTCAACCGAAAGGAGATAAGACTTATTTGACTCACCGTTTCAGAGGTTTCGGTCCATGGCTGCTTAGGCTCATTGCTTTGGTGCCTCAGGGAAGGCAGGTCATCTGGTGGAAGCAGGTGGAGAAGTAAACCTCTTTACCAGACAAAAGGGGTCTAGCTCACCCCAGCCTGGACATGGATCCTTACCACAGGAAAACTCCATCACCACTCCAGCTTCAACCCTGGCACATGCCAGCTGCGGCTTCTGGAAGTCAGACACCTGCAGACCAGTGTCACAACTTCGTGACCGCAGAGGTCTGGGGGAAAGGAACCTCAGGCCTTGGACTGAGAGGGCTGGCGGGGAAAGCTTTGGTAGGGAGCAGCAAGAGGTGTCTAGGCTGACAGGCGGCAAGTATACTGCATAGGAAAAGAGACAGGAGAAAAGGCTGATGGTAAATTAGCAAAACTAAAGCAATCATTAACGGCATCCAGTGTTCACGGTCTTGTCAAGTGACTTGTGGGCAGAGAAAAGAAAATTTGGCTGATTTGGGAGAGAAGGTCTCAAACCAGCTATACATCAAAATCAGCACAAGGAATGTTTTTAGACCCACATAGCCAGAACCCAGGCCAAACCACCAAAGGAAAAAACACCTTTTCAGCTGGCAAAATCCAGAAGTTCAGCCTCTCTGTTGGAATACAGAATAGTCACAACTCCTAGGTAGGAAAAGTCTACAGTATTTAGCAAGTTAGTTGTAGTTTTACATTTTGAAAAGAAATCCCATATCTAGTAGTCTATCCTGAAAATATGGCCCACCAATGCCACTTGACAGGTGCGTAAGGATTTTTCTTGGGAAGCTTTTTACAATATCAAGACTGCCCATCAGAGGGCACTGGCTTCAGGAGCTGTACTTCCTCCACCCAGCAGAGAACTAGGCAGCCAGCTACAGCATGCCGATGATGGTCTTTGTGCTAACAGAAAGTGATCATTACGACGTACAGGTAAGGAACAACTGAACGCACCTTTCACGTACATACAAAAAGAAGAGTGATACATATGTTTGCTTATTTTTGCATCCCCCTCAACCGAAACAACACACACACAACACTGGAAAGATAGAGTACCAGTTAATGGAAATGATTCTTTCTGAGTGTGGAGAACAAATTGACGAGGGATGAGTGAATATACCTTCAAAAGTTTAACTTTTGACTCATTTTGATGTTTACATATTTAATAACAGGATTAAGTCAAAAAGGGAAAAAGCACGCTCTAAACAAACTGAAACAACAATAAAAAAGTCTACTGACCTATCAGTCTTGTAACATAAGCATACAGAAAAATCGTGATTTTTTTATGACTTTATATACTGACAGGGCCGGGGATTTAGCTCAGCGGTTCGGTGGCCTGCCTTGCAAGCGCAAGAATCCAAGTTCGATCCCTGGTACAAAAAAAAAAAAAAAAAAAGATTAGTATATATTGACAAGGCAAAAAATAAAGAAATGAAACTTTGATCAGCAGATTAATTGTTAGAAGTAATGTTATATTATAATTTTGAAAGTATTTTTGGTACATTGCAAGATAGAGCAAGGGGGTAGTTACAGTTAATCTAATAAGAAACCAAAGTTTAGCTGGGCATTGTGATATACACCTGCAATCCCAGCACTCTGGGAGGTTGAGGCAGGAGGATTGCAGGTTCCAATTCAGCCTGGTCACTTAGTGACTTAGCAAGACTGTTATAAAGTAAAAAAGAAAAAGGGCTAGGGATGTAGCCCAAGAAAAAGTTCACTCAGCAACAAAATGTCATAAACACTTTTCCTTGTCAGTAAGTATACATTTATTTATTCCACCATGCTCTGAGGAAAAGATGGGCAGCATAAAATCAAACATAGGCATTCTTTTATTTTGATTTAGAGCTGTGGATACAGGCTCATACTTTTGAAAACACATTCCCCAGGTCTCCCTACTGAAATGGCCCACAAACAGTGATCATCCAGGCCACCAGGATGGCAAGCAGATTTCTGCCTACCATCCTCTGCAGAAAGGAATGTCAGTCTTGGATATTCTGTTAAACCTAAAGTAAGAAGGGCATTCCAAGATGGTGGGAGTCCTGCTCAAAGGACCAGAGGTGGGGGGCTCAAACCAGTGAGCCTGGGGAGATTTTGAGCATCAAAAATAAGAATAATTATAAAAACTTTCATACTCAAAATGAATAAAAATCGACACATTTGGACACAAAAAGAAAAGGGAGAAAAGGTAAGAAAGCTACAAGCTGGTTGTAGCAGGCAGCCAAGGCAAAGAAACACTTTCTGAGCGTCCCAGCAGCCTGGTGACTTTCTGGGTGGGAAGGCTAAGGGAATAATCCCTGGGCAGAGAACTGGTTATATTTACTATTCTATTATTTAGAACAGAGGGGAAAAAAACACCGGAACAGCCTAAATCCCTAAAAAAATAGGAATGGTTTTGGGAAATGTAGTATAATCCAGATATTTGGAACTCAGTGAAGCTGGAGTATGATGGAATAAATTTATATACTTGCTGACAAGGAGAAATGTTTGTCATATTTTGTTGCTGAGTGAAAAAAATTGTAAAACTTGTAGAGATAATATCATTTTTTGTTTTGTTTTAAAAATATGTGTACACACAAATAAGACCTACATGTAGAATGGCTATTCTAACATACCAACACAGATCTCTATTGGTGAAATTGTGATGTACTCTTTTTCTGATTTTTGCTTTTCTCTGCTTTTGAAAAATACGTATTTCATTTTAAATTTGTAAGACAGAGTGTTGCTACCTCTGTGGTGGGTGCAGGAAAGGAGTGGCAGGAAGGCCTAGGCAGTTCAGGCTGCAGAAGGGCTTTCTTTGGGAGAAGTGCGACTGCAGAAAGCCTAGAGCAGCACAGACGCCCCCTGGCTCCTGCTAGCTTGAAAGACACACGCAGGGAGATAGTGCAGCAGTGCCCCCTAGTGGACGCTTCTGGGCCTGCGTGAGCCAGTCTGAATGGAATTAAGCAGGTGACTCGTGGCTAAATGGCCCATGTAGGATCAGAGTTTGGGAACGACCTTAGACTCTTCCCCTTTCTTTGCCTCTTAGTCCCCCACTCTCTTTCAGCTCAAATGCTTCCTCTTCTATGACACTTTCCCTGAGACCCTCAGTTGCAGTACTTTGTGCTTTGATACTTCGTTCCCACCACATTTGGTGTGCACAACACCACTCTGTTTCAGGTTGCTATAGGTGTGCCTCTCACTTCCTGTGGACTACAAGGTCTAGGAGGACAAAGAGCCTTCTGGGTCATCCGTGCACCCACGCCAACAGCTAACACAGTGCCTGACACGAGGTGAGGACTGTAACTTCTTGAGATGAGTACAGGTAGAACCAGGTGGAGTAGAATTACATTTGGTGGAGGGAGAAGACCAAGCAGAGAATGTCCCTGAGGACAGGGAGGAGAAAACAGGAGAGAACAGGGTGTCTTCAGAGGATAAAATAGAGAAGGTGGCCAGCCAAGGAAATGAAGGGCAAGAGTGGGAGACCCTGAGGCCAGGTGATACAGGAAACGAAGTGTGGTACGTGGGACGAGTGCAGGAGACACCAGGGCCCAGGCTCAGCGGCAGCGCCTGCTTGCTTTTTAGTTGTTCATTTATTTTATTTATTTAGTTAGTTTTGGTACCAGGGATAGAACTCGGTCCTTGCGCTTGCAAGGCAGGCGGCGGAACCACTGAGCTAAATCCCCGGCCCTAGTTGCTCATTTTTGCAGTGAACCCAAGAAAACAGGCAGCTCACCAGATGGTCCCTTCCACGCGCTCATTGTCCTTCAGGGAATTCAGCCAGGTGTCAAGTAGCTGGAGGGAGAAGAGGACGAAAGGATTAGCTGCATTCCGGAAGGTAAAAGTGCAACTCAGGGCTTGGCTTCTGCCAAGTATCAGGGCTGCACTTCTAAGAGCCAGATTTCTCTTGCCTAGAGGTAGACTGGACATGAGGGCACAACTCTTACTTTGACATGAGAATCTCAGCAAACATCAGCCCCTGACAGCTAGAGAAGGAGAGGAGACTACGTCGACGTGTCTCGATATCCAGCCAGATTTTGTTCTATACTATACTATGTATAATTTTGTGGAATGGCTTTTTTGACCCAGTATAATTCCAGGAAGATCTATACAGATTTTAATGTATACAAATGACAAATTTCCTTTTATTACTGAGTAGTATTTACATGGTACTGATGTACCACAGTTTCTTTAATATGTAGCTTTTTTGGTCAGCTTTGGCTTATGGTGAGTAAAGCAACTGTAAACATTTGACTAGAAGTTTTTTTGTGAGCGTAAGTTTCCATACCTCTTTGATGAGTGGCTAGAAGCACACCAGCAGATTCAAAGAATAGCTGCGTGTTTAGTTTCTAAATAGTGCCAACTGTTTTCCAGGGCTTTTGTAGCATTTCAGATTCCAATCAGGAATTTATGTTATCTAGTTTTTGTGCTCACCATCACTTACTGGTATTCTCCCTTTTATTTTGATCATGCTGATAAATTAATGCCCATGTCTCACTGTGGTTTTAATTTCCATTTCTCTGATAACAAATGATGCTTAATATGTTTTCCTGTACTTATCATCTCTCTACATATATATACATTTGTTGCAGCGTTCAATAATGTTTTTGCCCACGTTATCTCCTTTTTTTTCTTTTTCCTGTCAAGTGTGGAGGATTCTTCATACATCTACGTGCTGGCCTTGTTTTGTTGCATATACAATTTACAACAATTTCTTCTTCCGGCAGGTAGATGGTGAATTTGAGTATGTTTACAGGGTGTTTTGTAGAGGAAAATAAAAATATAAAATACAAAATTCGGATTACCTCTCCTTGCGAGTATGAACATTGATGTGTGCTCCCTCACCTCTGGCAGGGGTCAGGGGAGTCATACTTCTCCAAGTTGGAAAGTGGCTGCTCTGAAGTGAGATCCAGGCTTCTAATAGATGGCGAGTTTTAAAGATATATTGCCAAATATATATACATATATATAATTTTATATTTATTACATGTTACAGTGGTAATAGCTTGGATATATTGGGCTGTTGTTACAATCAATTTCACCCGTTTCTTAAACTTTTTAAAATGTGAATGATGGAATACCACAAATTACACTTTTGCATCACAGTTTCTTTGTATTGGAAACCCACCCCCCCACCCCACTCCCTCCGAGCTTAGGGG